GGGGGGGGGGGGGGGGGGGGGGGGGGGGGGGGGGGGGGGGGGGGGGGGGGGGGGGGGGGGGGGGGGGGGGGGGGGGGGGGGGGGGGGGGCACTTTGGGGGGCAGCACTTTGGGGGGGGGGGGGGGGTGGGGGGGGGGGGGGTGGGGGGGGTTGGGGGTGTGTGTGGGGGGGGGGGGCGGGGTGTGCGGTGGTGCGGTGTGCGGTGGTGCGGGGTGGGGTGGGGTGGGGGTGGGGGTGCTGGGGGGGGGGGGGAGGGGGCGGGGGGGTGTGTTGGGGTGGGGGGTGGTGGGGGGGGGTGTGTGGGGTGAGGGGGTGGGGCGGGGGTGGGGGGTGAGGGGTGGGGGGGTGGGTGTAGGTATGTAGGTGGGGGTGGGGGTGGGGGTGTGGGGGGGGAGGGGGTGGGTGTGGGTGGGGGTGGTGGGGGGGGGGTGGGGGGGGTAGTGGGGGGGGGGGGGGGTGTGGGGAGGGAGGGTGTGGGGGGGGAGTGTGGGGGGGCGGGCGGTGGGCGGTGGTGGGGGTGTGGGGGGGGGGGGGGGTGGTGCGGGTGGGGGGATGGGGGGGTGGGGTGGGTGGGGGGGGGTGGTGGGTAGGGGAGGTAGGGGTGGGGTGGGGTGGTGGGGTGGTGGTGGTGGTGGGGGGGGGGGGGGGGGTGGGTGGGGTGGGGGGTGGGGGGTGGGGTGGGGGTGGGGAGTGGTGTGTGGGGGGGTGGGGGGGGTATGGGGGGTGGGGGCACAAACAACTGAGTTTGGAAGGGCGTTCCAGAATCCTTCGGGTATCTAACCCACAATTCCTGTTGCTTTGAGTTCGTCAATGAGAAATTCACCGATCACGTCCCACAACATGATGCAAATGCAATGAAGACCAAGATGAATAAGTAATTGTGTGCTAGGAAATTCATCTTGTAGCAGTTGTATGAAAACGGTAATTAATAACAAGAATGACAAAACATATTCAGTAGCCACGAGAAACTTGCTGATATAAGACCGAAGCAGTAATGGACCAAATACAGTTCTTTGGTTAAGGATACTAATGCTGGAACATTAACAGTAGTAACAGTCTCCTAAGGGGATTATCTGGGGAAATAAAACAGCCGAACTAGAAGTTACTGAACGGTTAAACCTGCAAAATCACATATCCCGATGCTCTCGGCCTTCATGATCACACATCCTAATACATATTTGCAGCCTATGTACTTAAGTAACAGCAAACTGGTGACCGAGATGAATTATATGCATCTTAATATCATTAAGTGTTAAGCTAGTTCAACTGGGATATTTAGATTCTCTTGCTTAGTTTATAGCAGCAAACATATGTAAACCAAATAACGTGCAGCGTATGATTTCACTACATTTGTATAACCGTTGGAACAGTGAAAAAGTATTTTATTAATAACTGAACTGTATATTCCCCAAACGTGCGTGACACAGTCAGAGTGGTCTGCTAAATTTATCGCCGTTTTAATAGCTGCGGATTCACAGGTCCCGTAGGGAATGCATGATGAATGTTTCAACCTATGAAAATCTGCCAGCAAACAAACTTTTGCACTAGTAAACTAACGGAAATACATGCGGCAATGAAAATATTCGTATCTGGCACAGAAATCAGACAACCAGGAAAGCCAACTAAAATTAAAAATTTAGCACTTTTATTTGTCTTCGTATTTCCATACGTTTCTGCAACATTGCTTACATGTTAGCAGATTTGCAGTTTGGACTGGGTCGCAATTGGACCAAAATTGAGATAGAGTATTTTTCAGTGTGCAAATATTTATAATTCAGAGTAATGTCAGCAGCCGAAATCCACAACAATATGCTCAATATATTACACGACAATGACCCTTCATTTCCCACAGTGAAACATTGGTTGTAAACTTTAAGTGACGCAGGAAAAGTATTGAAGACGATCCCAGGTGAAGTAGGGCATAGAGCGCCACCACCAAAGAAATCATGTACTAACATTGGATATACTCACGCAAGATAGCTGATTGCCAACTCTTCTGATAGCGGAAAGTTTAGGCTTCTCCCGACAGCGAGCGGATAATATTCTGACTAAAGGTTTAAGCTACTGAAAATATCCCGCAAAATGAGTGCCACATCTTCGGAAGCAGTGCCAAAGCGCTTTTAGCTTATCATCTCAAAAAAATTTTGAACTGTTAAAAGCAGATATCTTAATGTTCTTCAGCAATTCTGTACTATGGATAAACACGCGGTTCACCACCTACAAACAGAAAGAAAAAGCAATTGAAACAATGGAAGCGTGCATAGTCTCCTACGCCAAGGAGAGCCAAGGTAACGCCGTCAGCTGACAAAGTCCGTAACTCCTTTTTTGGTATTCGAGGTGTGTTGACGCATGCCTTTTTTGATAAAGGTCATAACCTCAACGCAAAGCAATACTGAGTTACTTAAAGGCCTCAAACAAAATATTTGAAGAAAAAGGCCATGTACGTTAGCAAAAGGGATTATTATCTTGAGTGACAAAGCTTTAGCTCACACCTTTTCAATTTTTGAGGAAACAAATCATGATTGCGGCTTCAAGATTCTCTTTGACATATGCCATGCACTAGATGTGAACCACGGCATTTCTCTATTTCCAATCTTGCAAAAAGCTTCACCTGGCAAACAATTTCTCAAAGACATTGAAGGCAGTAAAGTCGCCGAAGTATTTCGAAAGACACAACCGTCATAGTTCTTTTCCGTTGAGATACATACGCTTCAACAACGCTGGAGCACGTATGTTGAGTTGGAGGGAGATTATGTTAGAAAATAAAAGCCTCGAAGGACTAGTATCTCGTTCGGCGATTTTGGGGATCGAAAATTCGAAATCACCTATTGCACACTGTAAATAAACAAGTAATGACAACTAGTTTAGCGCTTGCATAGGTGAAAGCCCTTCAAACGGTAACACATTTATGATCATCTCATGCAACTGCATACAGGTTAGTTTATTGAAGGCATTATTTCTTCATATTTAAGGAAACTCGTTTATTAATAATCAGCTCACCGGAAATGCGGTGCACATTTCTCATCACTGGCTCAGGCAACCACTATTAATTGACTGTAAGGTATGGCAAATCATTCAATACCGGAATACATAATGGGCTCCGATTGGAGGAGGTTTGCCTCTGAGGCTCTTGGAGCCTATTGCTTGCACGTTTGAATGCTAATTAACGTTTACAAGGAATTTATGCTGCATTCCACCCCACCAATATAATGCATCCCCAGGGGTTAAATTAGCTGTGACTCAATTTACGCATGAACGCACTTTGCTAACTTTTCTTCGGAATTCAAATCTTCGAGAACAACGTACACGCTTAAGTCAAATTCCTTGAATCATCCTCTGGTATCGAACGATCTTGCGCAAACTTTTCGCTGAGTAATAAAAAACATGTCCTTTTTAGAAGCCTACGGAGCATCTACCACTTTCTTGATAGAAGATGGACCGGCTGATTTTTGACAAATGTTCTCGGGATTACGGCCCAATTGTTATCTTGTGAACTGATTTCCTCTACCTTCTAACCAAATAGCTTATGTTTACGTTACCGTTGATAATCCGGTACCATAAACCGTTTCATCAACTGGCGTCTACAAACCTACATTATATGCTCACTTACACCTAGCCAATATTTTGGAAGCAACCGTTACCTCCTCGTAATCACCGACAATATTTCATCAGCAGGACAGAAATTTTCCCTCGTCTGAACAATTTGGCTTTGACCTTACATTCATTTAAGAAAGCATTATCACAATCTTTCTTGTTACCGGTTGCTTTTTGACGTACGTGTGATTCACACATCGCCAGTGAGCACAGTTGTGTTAAGAAATTTCATTATCTCCAAATGACTGTACGATTTTCAGGTTTCTATCTTCCCCAACAATTTTGATTTAGCCTCAGATAGGCGGCACAGCCCACCTTCATCACAATTTTCAGAATTCTCCACTATGTACCATATGCCTGTTTAGACCATTCAGAGCTTTTTCGCTTATCGTAGACTACTTTAAATGTGCAAATGGACTATTTCCGGTTGGTGTGGAACAGATCATCTACATGCATTAACTCAAATCTGTGCACAACATACCAAGTTTAACCTGTTCCATAGAAAAAACGAAAAGTTCACTCCATTTAGTTCACGTACCTATCGGTCCATTCAAATGAAAATGACTAAACGGATATAGTTTCTCTGATCTACCTCTGGTGTGTTTTGAAAATGTGCATGCCTCCATTAATCTCCCCATAGAGACGCGCGTGCTGTTGTAGTGAGTAATGATTACGTAATTAGTTAGCGTAGTGATGCTGCAAACAGTTTCAGGAATCCCGTTTGGTTTCGGGTGTCAACCAGCGTGCCTTCAGGTTTCACAAAGATGCCTTGACTTATGAGCGCTAATAAATCGATAGGGTTGCGTAACGTTTTGTTCACTATATGGCATTTGCAACATCAAGTATGCTCATAAGGTAATTATTAATTCTACCCATTTGAATAAAGTGAATTCAACCCTAAGTTGCGGTTAACAGAAGCATAAACCTATCCACCGTGTATGGCAAAACAACAGAAAGTAGATATACAAAGGTCAAACTACCAGTGTTATGGTTGGTTCAAGTACTACTTTTCTCAAAACCGAGAGATTTGCCAATAATAACCTTATAAGACCTACCGACAAACACTTTCGTTTATTCTGACAAGGCTTTCATTGCAGTAGTTCACAAGCTACATAGCAGTGCTTAGTCTGGAAAAGCACCCTACGCGGTTCCCCCTATTGTGGCTCGTCAGTGATGTGCATTCCCTCGGTCCCATACAGGGGACCGTACCCATGACGGCTAGAGGCAGATGCCAACTAGCCAGCAGCTTAAGCCACTGTGCCATGGGAGAGGTTGACTGGGTTACATATTTTGCAAACTAACTGGGATATAGAAGCACCTATCATCCACTGTCACTGACAGGGGTTAGCCTGCGATGTGATGACGCCCTCTCCCTAGATGCTATATCCATGGCATTTGAAACTAGGAGTGGCTATTTTTATTTGACATTACTCGCGAGTAGCAGGATTTTAGGTGTAATTTTTATACAGCATATTGACAACTACTTATTTGGCACTGTAGCGTTTGGATTAAAACTTACAACTGCTACACTAAGTTTTGGTAAATTCATTAATCGGATCAAGAAGGAAAAGCACTGTAACAACTGCGCCCAACTTTTGAGATTATAGCTAAAACGTATACAATGCCTTTACGGGTAAGGATTAATGGCTGAATACGTTATCAAAATTTGTGAAAACATGCATTCCCGTATTACGCTTTTGTCAGTAGAAATGTATTTTGTCGTCAAGAGAGCTCCAATGCCCTTAAAGTAATTACCTAGCCACCGTTAAGATCCACTGTTGTACGAGGACGGTATCCGCACAGCTGTCAATTGTTCGTAGGTCTCACTTCTCATAGTCCACGACGAGCGAGAGAGAGAGAGAGGATGCATCTCGGTACCAGTGTGCACTTCAATTTCCCGCCCACAGTACTTAAATCTCGACAAATTTTTGGATCCGACGAAAGCAAACCGCTATCTCTAGTTGCATTAACGATCCTAAGTGGCTTTTTTTGCATTCACTAAAGTAGATACAAATGGATCAAGAATGGCCGTATCTACGGGACACACATTTGTACTACCTGGAGCTAATCATTCGGCTCCATAATAAGCTAATAAATACCTGCTTATATGTTTTGCTTGCGAAATACGTTGCGCTATACTCTCACAATGATATAATAGGAATTATGGTTGCAAGAGCACTGGCTTATCATGTTTGCTGCAGTCACCCA